AACATTTTGGAACTAAACAAAGGGTTGGAAACGAATTGAAAGGTAAACTTGTTTCATTTCTATTCATAATGGTAGAAGATCACTTTTTATAAGCTTGTAATGCTTAGAATAATTAATCTACGTCACTGACGCACGCTATTTCCTTCCAAAGTTTAAAGATAAAAGAATCCAATGACACACGACCAAACAAGAAGAGGCAAGAATTCACCGTTTGGTTTTGGTAAGTTTTTTGTTGTTATCGTATCGTGTAATTTAGCTTATTTGACCTTTAGTTTTAGATGCATAACTCTTTTGTTCTTGGTGTGAGATAAGCAACCTCCCCACCCCCCCTTTCCCAACTACAATAAAGAAATTTGGGCTTGAAATTGCACTAAAACGTTATATCCAAGTCGTAATCTCCTTAGTCCCTTTTTAAATGAAAAATTCAAGCCCTTGAATGTAAAGGTTCTGAAACCTAAGCAACACTAACACTGTGTTGTAAATTTTTATAATCAGTTATTGTTTACGTGCTCGAAAAACAAGTGGAACTTTGGCGAGGAGCTGCGCTCAGTTATTGTGCCGTTGGTTTAACCATCTAAACTGTTCAGCGTCCCAAATACAGGAAAATTAAGGTTTGCCTTTTCCGCAAGCACCCCAAGCGGACAAGACAATCAGCGAGCAAAATATTTCGAATTAAATGTTTTCTTCTGTATCTCCGAGCGCTATATATTAACAGTGCAAGTTTCCTTTTTCTTTATTTTGCTGTCTTGTCTTCCCTACAATTTGCAATTCTTGTCTTTGCTTTCTTAGCGTTCATAACGATTAACCGATGAAAATATTCATAACTTTCTATTTGCTTTCTTGGAAAAAAAAAACTATTTAGGTGTTAATGTATTTTATGAAATAACTGGCAAGATAGTACGCTCTTTCTGATTGGTGAAAAACCTATGGAATATTGTGCCGTTAAAATCATAGAAAGTTAGGTTACTCGAAAAGCAGTGTTCTCCCAACATCCCGAGTGGGTTATCACGCCGGTAAACCCATAGAAAGTGTGGTCTATTGCTTAAATAAGGAATAGCATCTTTGGGACAATTATAGGGTTATTAAAGCCAGTGGAGAAGGGGACGCTCTATGAAACTTTTGCGATGAAGAAAACGCAATATATCATCCAACTAATATGATATAACGACATTTCAAAAAGCACTGAAAAAAACGAGGAGCGGGCATTTTTTAGCTTTTTTCAATAAAGCTAGTAGGCCAAACGTCGAACTCTTCATGAGACGAAAAAAACGTAGTGAGTTAAGGTCATGAAAACTAAACGTTTGACGTCTGGCTCAGTTAAGTTTGTCTGAATGAGTTTGGATCGTCCAACACGTTCTATACGTCTGCTTCAGATGGATAGAATGTCTGAAGATCGTCTCTGGGACAATTGTACGTCGATCTTCACATGCGAAGAACTAAACTGACAAATAAATTTTTATGATTAACTATATTTAGCTTCGGTGAAAGGTTTGAACCCAGGAGTCATTTCAAAAAAAGGTTGAGTTTGATCGTCCGGGTGAACGTAGTCCTGAATAGGACTGCTGTTCGTTGACGGTGACTGACGTTTCGACAACCTGTGCGGTAGTCATCTTCAGAGTCAAAGTGAGTTGTATCACGTCAGTTGTATTTAGCTTCGTTCTGGAGAAAATTTATTTATGGCTGGTTAAAATTGCTTTTTGGTCTAATTCAGTTGATTGCTTCGATGCGTCCTAACTTCGAAGTCTGACCCAACAGACGATCTTTACTTAATTTAGGTCGACTCATGAATTAGAGTTTGGTTTGTCTTATGAAAAGTTCGACGTTTACTCTATGCCTAAAACAAGCCCTAGCTGTGTGACATTCAGAATAAAGAACTTCGAGTGATTGTTAAATGATCGATCGATCAGTTCCAATATTTGTATAAAATTATCAGTAACTCGTGAAAAGAAGGCAAACACACCAATTCGTGACATTTTCCAGTGTTTAAGGTGGTGATTTCCTCTGTTTCCAACCTATGAATTATTAACAAGTTTGAGAAGTACATTTTCCGGTTACTAATGTCTTCCTGTTTTGTTTTGTTTTTGGTTTTGTGCAATTCTCAAAAGTAATGTAAAATGAAACAAGTGGAATTCATGATCGGAAATAGCCTGAATTTCATCCGATTACTTCGAGTCGTTATTACTCCCTCAGTAACGTCTGAATCGACCAGCCGTTAATACCGTCCAGTGACGTCACTACTCCTTGATCTTTGCTTTAATTCATGCAAAAAGTAAAACACGATTTTCAAGTGGCAAACCGAGAAACATCGTTTGGAAATGTCTGCATGATACAGAATTGCTTTATTTTTTTCGATCGTGATTCATGTTTAACGTTCAAACTATCAACTGCATGCAGTAAAACTCTGAACGGGTTGTACTGAATTCTATAATCAAACTCGGTCGCAATCACGTAATGAAATAAACACTTAGTTCAAAAACACAATGATTTGCTTTAATTGAAAAGAAGCTATTTGGTCCTTAACGAAGAAAAAAAACAAGGAAACAAGAAAGAACAGTTAACAGAATCATTACACTTGACGGTGAAAATAGCAAGAAGGTCGAATTATAACATTGATCTCAGAAAACTTCGCGTAAACAAAGTCACCGGCCACCGAAACCACAAAGCGGCTCTAAATGAAAAACCTACCGACTCTCCGCAATGATTCTTCATTCGCAGTTCAATTTAGCATTTCAGTTTCGAAGACAAGGGCAATTTTGCAGTTTAAGATAAAGATTAAGCTTATCGAAATGTTTGAACTACACGAAAGAATGCCAGGGATGCGATCCGCTGAATATCAAGCGACAATCCCGCTAAAATGTTTCATAATTATACATAATTATGCGAATGTTTAGAGAATCAACCAATCAAAATCACTACCCGGTTTTCGGGTAGTGAGTGACGTCACTGGACGGCATTATCGGCCCGTCGGTTCAGACGTTGTTGAGAGGAGAAAACGACTCGAAGCAATCGGATGAATTTCAGGCTAGATCGGAAACTCATCGATGGCAAAAATAGCAACGCTAAATTTGGCCAAAAACCTCTTCCTACATTTGACGCTGAGTGAAAAGAATTTCTTTAGAGAAGTGTTATAATAATTTATCTTTTGATCATTGAAAGGTGTTATTTAACAATTAATCAATGAGCCTGGGTATCTTATGAAGAATTGTGGAGATCGAGATGGGTGTTATGCGTCCGACATCTCCATAATTCTTCATATTATACGAAAGCCGAATTCAATAATTGTTTTATTATTCCTAGTTTAAAAACATGCTTACCTCCATCGATGTTAAGTTCATCTTCGATAGTGCACGTTCAGGGTTGTTCAGCCCCGCAAATATTCTCCAAATAGCAGATGTCGCCCTTCGAGTTGCCTTCTTGCTGTTCTTGCCATGTTTTTAGCTATTATTTCGCCTACTTCTTACTCTTGAAACAAGTGAAATGTCCGCCATTTTTGTTTTCAGAACCAAAACAACTCAACCTCGTTCCCAGGTCTTCTCGGTTAACGGCGCATTAACCTGCAAGGAAGCTGCACTTTTGACGTCATCGGTTGATTAATCGCAATATTCTTCCAAATTTGGTCATTAGTAGCTGGTTATGGTTAATTATGCGTGTGCTTTTAGCCAATGAGATGATCGGGGAAATATTTTGAATGAATAATGAGTCTCTGCAAAGGTATTCTTTTTAAATTTCTGCACGTCGGATGCCAACCCGGAACCCGAGCTCTGAAACGGGCCGGAAATCTTCCATGTCATCATGTCCAGCATGTGAGTCAGTCAGGGTAACCAAACCAGCAACAGGACAGCGGATGAAACACTGCTCATGCGCACTATCCCCAATCTTTCAGTGAACATGAGGGCTCCGGGTTGGCACGCTTCACTTAACACTAGGATTAAAGCAAGCCAGCCCTGCAAACCGGACTAGCCTAGCTCGTCGTAATCAGCTTCTTTGGATGTAGACAACACAATTAAGGGTTTTAACTCACGTGACCAGCATCTATGCAAATTTTTGGGAACACAAGGAATGCTGTTAGATTAGAAAAAAGTTAGCTTGGTAAACAGACACGGCGGCGGTTTCGTTGTTTGTGCGCGTGGAAGCGTTCTTCATATTCTCGGACTTTCTATTTTGCACTTTAATTTTCATTTATCTTCTTTCAAATCTCATATTTACTCTGGGTTTTTAATTCCGCTAAAATTAGTTATTTTCATTTCCACAATGACTTATGACAGGCTCCTTTACAACCTGATGAATGTACAATCTTTATTTAAAAGAAATGACCAATATCATCTAAAAGTGACAAGAGTTAAACCAGTACAACAACTGTTTCAAGTCTACCTGAGCTTCTCAGGGATGTCCTCAATTCCTTTTACAGTACTTTAAATGGTTTCTTCTGAATCATTTGATCGTATTTCAAGCGGTATATCGACAGGTGTATTCACTTATTTAAGAGTCTTTTAACAGACCGGTTAATGTTGTTAACTTTGTACTTTGCGTAAAAGACACGTGTTGATAACTCTAACGTAATTCGCCTAATCGCTCCACGAAAGTTTAAAAAAAAAAGAGAAAAAGTGTAAGGTAATTTTCATATCGGGCGTCTAGCTTGCAGTTGACTGACTTTTCGTTTTTGAAAAACACTGTACTGATTTTAAAAGATGAAGTTTTACTTCTGAACTGAAAGTGGCATTTTGCTACTAGCAGAGCATTCAGCACTTGCAGCATTGGATAGAGCTTGGATAAACTCGACTTCAGAATGACAGTTTTAGTTTAATTCAAAGCACATCTTCTGTTTAGTGCCTAGTAACTAATGACTTAATATCTGCATACGTAAGACTCAAGGATAAATACCGCCACCAGTTAGTTAATTAAGATCGATGATAGCCAGCGTCACGACGTGTGAGTTTTCATATCTTTATATTGAGAAAAAACGAAAACATTTTAATTGTTGACTGATCCAGCAGGTCTAACCCAAGCCCGGCAAACCTGCACAGTAAGAGTTCTGTTGTTTTTGGATCACTAGGTAAGAAGAGTCATAAAAATAACCTTTCGTACTTAAGGACGTAACGTTAACATTGGAATAGTTTCTACCTTAACAGCGCTTTAGGGTATGACGATCATCTTCAGATAATCAATCGCCAGCGCTCATTTCAGGGATTGATATATTCCCAAAAACCAGAATTATCGACTGTTTACCTCTGTCCTTAGTAAACTTTTATTTGACTTTCAAGGGAAATTTTATTTGACTTTCACGAGAAAAGATATGGCGGAGGTGACTGCAAATTTGTTATCTTCAATTTTGTTTTCAATTAGTTCCTTCAATTTTGTTTACAAAGTTCCCGCGCGTACGCAGCAATGTAGAACGTTTAAGTAGCAATCTGAAGTTCCCCTTTAATACTCATCAACTGCAACACATACACACACATGAAACAGACACAACTACATGTATATATTGTGAAATAACCCTGAGCTCAATATTTTTTGTTTTCGCCCACTTTATTTTATTTTTCGTTTAAGGGAAATAATATGATAAATTGAAGTGAAGTTATGTCCTACAGTGAAAAATTAAAAAATCGATTTTTTAGTGAATGGTGATTCAGATAGCTGTAGCTGTTAACTTGCATCAGCTTAGGGGAAATAATTTATCCGCAGCTGGAAATTTATTCATACCTCGCGCAGTTTGAGTATTGTTTCAAATTCAGAGAATTAACGGGATGTGAGAAGAAGCGCTCTGATAAATACAAAATAATGTCTACATGTTTCGAAGTACCTTTTTTTTTACTTTGTTTATTACAGGGAAACCGGCTGAAAGCTGTCCAAAGAGTTTTCGCACCTGTACGCAAATTTTCATCCCCTTCGTTCGCACGCACATGTACGCGGTTGCATGTGAGTAAGAGCCCGTTATCCCAATGTATTTTATTAGCCTTTGTGCTAACTTCAAGAACGTTCAAAAACACTGAAAAAACGGGAATCGAACCGGCAGTCTCACCGTGTCTTTGTTTAGTGCCCTCAAAGTGTCTTAGTTTCAAACCACCTTAGCTATAATTTGAAATACGATGCTTGAAATGAATTAGACAGGAACCCGCATGTACACTACAAAAATAGCTCCCTGAGGCTGAAATTTGGTGATAGAAGCACATAAAAAATTTATTGTACTCAAGAACCTGCTATCGAAAGTCAGGGGAGGGATTTTATACGCGAGTTTTTCTTAGACTAAAAAAGGTTTTATTCTTTTATTAATTATGCAGTGGTTAATTCTTACTTGTTAGATATGCGTCGTCAATGCCAGTTTCAAAAAAAGCTTGACGTAACAACGGTTTGTAAATTTTAAAATCCCCATTTTTCGAAGGGAACAATACTTACTGCTTTCAGCTCTTAATTCCCGCGACAGGGAAAAAACTGATAAAAAGCAAACCTACGATGTTAAAAAAAATTTTTCGCTATAAGTATTCCGTCAATTTATTCTATGTTTCTCTCCGAACTTTCCCGCATTTTTTTGCGTTGCCCCGTCCGTGAGCATTTCGCATTTCTTCACACGTTTGTTCTCATTAAGACCCTGTTTACATGGAGTGGGGGACCCCGGTCTAGTGGGGTAAGTTTCTTTTGTTTTGTGTCCCCCGGAGCGTGAAAACAAAAGAAACTTACCCCACTAGACCGGGGTCCCCCACTCCATGTAAACAGGCCCTATATAAGAGATGCTCTATTTTGTCGCCTATAGGTGGTTTTCATGCAATCTCGGGAGACACAAATAACAATGGTGAAATCAACAAATTCTGGTGGACAAACAAAGAGAGCTAATGAGCGATCTTTTGTTTACCGTCCACCAGTATGGCGGCGATGACGTAACGTGAAAACCACCTATTTGATCGTCTTGCAGATGTTCTTCTATAAAGAAAAAAAAAACCTTGGAAAGTTTGTTCGATAAAGAATGTTGCCTATAGTCAATAAAAAATTAATTTACATGATATCTTGACTTTCGTCGGGGATAACTCCTTCAAAGCCCTGACGAATTTTCGTTTACACTACTCTGCATTTTTCTAATCCCTCTTATGAATCGTTTTTTTTTTGTTGGTTTGCTGAAACAAAGAAATTTGAAATTTGAATCTAAAACAAGCGAACTTTTCTTGAGACAAAGAAAGAAACAAAAAAAGATAACTGGGAACATAGGAAAGAACCCCTCTTTGCAAATGGGTCCAAATGTTTGAGAATAAAGGGTGAGTTTTACGTGTAGTATAATTGATATTCAGCTTTGATCCCCATGTGCAGGCGAAAGTACACAATCACCACGAAGAAAATAGACCTGCTCTTTAATGGCCGTTCACGAGATCTCTTAAGCAAGGCACTCTTGAGTACTTAAACATCATCAATTTTAAGCTCAGTATCAAACTGTACATTCCAAATTCATTGCATTATATCCTGCGAAGCTGAAAATTAACTTGAACTTGATAATATCAATTTCTGTGAGAAAAAGTTTCATTTATAGTCTGCCAAGACAGGATATGATGCACAGTTGCATAGTTTAACACCACAGTAGAGCATCCACAGAGAGCTCGATTATGTGTTCCTTTTTCGAGAAGGCAAACGGGATGTTTTTTTTAAGTAGAAACTTACACTGCACCACAGGCAGCCCAAGTTCTGGATAATAGTTACAAGTACAGTACAATATTGCGTAATCACAATACGGCCGCGGATTTGTATGAGAACTGCGGTAATAGACTTGAGATGATAAATACTCACAGGAATCTTAACTTATGTGTTTTTGCTTCCTGTAAGGTTATTTTCCAGTTCCGATTCGATTTTAGCGATTTCTTTCATCCCCGGTAACTGACTAACTCGGGGAGAATGAACGCATTTTCCTTCTTTTGAAAAATTTTGAATTTCAAAAAATATATACCTCTTATTTGCCGAGTTTTCGGTCCGTACTGTAAATTACGGATACTCGTTTTTTCCGTCCAATCGATGGAAAAAAACGAGGATATTTACAGTACAAACCGAAAAAACGAGGCTTATAAGATGTTTATTATATGGCTTCTTCCTGTATGGGGGACCAGAAACAATTGCAGGACGCACGATTTGACAGTCATTTGACAGGCGTCAAAAAAGAAAGTTTTTATTGGCGCACGAAAACAATAGCACATAACAAAGGCTTTCCGAGAAAGTAAAAACAAATTCGCCATGTTCAAAAAGTTTATTCGGTGAAAACTAAGAGCAATGTAAGTTTTAGCCAAGAGACTATAAAGGGGACAGAGAGGGCATCCCCCATATACACCCTATTCCATAGGTAATTCGTCTCGAGTTATTAATAACACCACAGATCTTAAGGGGGATTAGACAACAGCCAATCACATAGCGCGAATATGTTCCGCGTGGATGACCCACGCTGAGAGCCACGCGTCCTTCACGAAATGACGAGGAACAAAATGGGGGAAGACGCGGAGAGCGATTTTGCTATTCCTTTTGTCGACGAAAACGACTACAGCGAGATTTCTGCGAAAGCTGTGTCAGCGAAACCGAAATTAAAAAAGAATCGCCCTTCCTCTCTTGTATAGAGCTAACAGTAGAGTAGGGAAATCCTTAACACACTGAATATTCTCTCAGGATCATTTATAATTTACAGTTTGAAGAGAGCAATTTCTGGTTTGATGTTTATTTTTTTCAGTCTTTATAGCGATTATTCCTACCCACTTACTTTGTCAATTGTAGGCGAACCTTCCTAAAGCTGAATTTCAAGGGACCATATTCAAGTTCAGAAAGAGAGGTAAAATTTCGTCGTTGCTTATTTACGTCCTCCATAAAACGCGAAATTAGGCATTTTCACGTCGTAGTCGTGCAAAAACGGGAAAGAAATGAACAAAAAAGTTTGTTGCAAGTGCGAAGTTGTTGTTTTGCTAATTAAACCTATTGTTTTTTTTTTTGACGTTCTAGTTGTCGTCCGCGTCGTTGGATCTTAAACTCCCTAAATTGTACAACCGACCGGTTTCAATAGACCGGCGAAATTTCTCATTTTATTAAAGCACTGAGGTTATGACAACTTCGAGTTAAACTGATTTCACGGGTTGTCAAAGAGTCCAGCGATTCCTTTTTCCCAGGTGAGCGCCGACTCATTTCGCTTCAATATTCAGGAATGCCCTCGATCTTTTTACGCTTTCATTGCCCCTCGCCCGACATGTTTTGCACGGCGTTTGGTCATGCGAAACCTCCACGAAACATCCACGCCTCGCGCGAGGTAACTTTATCCCGATTCTAAAAATAACTCGAGACGAATTACTCATGGAATAGGGTGTATATGGGGGATGCCCTCTCTGTACCCTTTATAGTCTCTTGTTTCAGCTCTTTAATGTAACGCTGGAGTATTTTGGAAACCGGACACTGTGTCTATCTAGAAATCGTTTCCATCTTTCCACTGCAAAAGGCAAAGAAACTTTTCAGGGTAAGTTTGTTGTCATTTTCGAAGGATTCGCTCGTTAATTGTTTTTGGTTAATCTCTCTTTCTGCCAGTTCATTCTCGTCTTCAATTGTGATCCACGTTAACATTTTCAAACACTGACTAGAATTCTCTTCCTCGGTGAGGTTACTATTCAGTCTCTACATCAGCTTCGTTCTCATTAAAACAACGGCTAGGTTAAAATTTGGAAAGGCAAAGTCAACCTCCCAGTCCTCAGGGTTTACAGACATATTTTAAAGTTTATTCGGTCAAAACTAAGAGCACTGTAAGTATTCACTTGTTAATGTGACGTTGGAGTCTTTTCAGAAACTGGACATTGTGTCTGGCTCGAACTCGCTTCTATCTTTCTTTCGTTGGTCTTTGAAAAAACTTTGCAAATGGAAAAGAAGCTTGTCAAGATTATCGGGTGCAGGTATGTTTGTTATCATATTTTTCGAAGAAATTACTCGTTTTCTCTTAGGCGAAACATCTCGAATCTCTGCCAGTCGATTTTCGTCTTCTTAACTGTGTACTGAGATAAAATTTTCAAACACTGACTAGAATCCTCTTCGATAAGATTACGAGCTAGTTTCTTCATCGCCTTCGTTCACAAATAAACACAGTTCAAAGTGTTGAAGGCCAAAGTCCACATCCAAGTCCTCAAGGATGACAGGCGTCTTATAACTTTATTTGAACCTTTTTTCCGAGGTAAAGAGATTTAGAGCTCCAAAATGAGCAAGTTACGGACCGCAAATAGACCAATCACATGGCGAAAACAGACTCAGCCTATAATAAATATGCTTATACTAGGATGTAAGGACTATAAGGTTGTGATAACATTTGTAGTTTTAAACTGGCAGGTTCCAGTTGATGAACATTTCATTAGTTGTTAAGTTCTCCTATGATCATATTACATATTTAGTGACGTCTGCATTTGATAGTAGAATATCAACTTAACAGTTGAAAGTATCAGCCTCCTTGGAATGATATCAAAATTTTAAGCTAGAAAAGATGATTTTTCTTTCACTGAGACCAATTAAAATTTCCAAGTTTCTTTTGTGAGCCTTTATATAGAACGACTTCGATAGGACTCCATTAAAAAAATAATTTGCTTTCTGATATTCATATTCATTTCATCCGATTTTAAATATTCATTATTTCACAGAACAAAATTTAAATAAGAAAGTTTAAACAAAATGAAGGTTTCTTTTTATAGGGGCACACAATGGATCTGCTCCTCAAAATATCTATTCTTCAAGCAAATTATTGCTGCCTGGGAGATTTGGGAGAAATAATATGTCCTTGGAAGGAAAGTGTTGCTGGGAACACGTCAATTCAGGGTGTCTGAGGGGATTTGATGTTTAGAATTGCGTCATCTTCCATCAGTCTTGCTGGAAGTGAGGAATAGATAAATTTTTCCCAGCAGTCTCCCAAAATGCTTAAAATGGCTTCAAAAAGCTTTATTCATGCTTTGTTGTTGTTTTTAGGTCTTTTTCTTAAAATTTCCCGTTGGGTGCCCCTGTACATGTTTTTGAGCGGGTTTATCTTCGTGTTCCCATGCATACATAAACCCGCAGGTGTTACAGACCCCTCATACTCAGACTAACACATTAGACTATCCGATTAAAGTTGCACATAATTTTGTGCGACTTGAAAATTTTTTTTTGTATACATAATAATATTTTTTTATGAACTGGTGTGCTTAACCACCGCTCCTATAATATTAGGAATGACTAGAATGCTTGGGGGTAGAAACACACGAGAAGCAATCATTGTTTGAGTTTTGGTGACTTTGAAAGAGACACTTTAAATACACCTGCACGGTCTACTTTAAAAATAATTAAAGTCTCTTCAATTTTCAAAGGAAGCCATCGCACAAATTAACTTTTTGTATACCACCGTGTAAAACGATAATGAAGGTAAGGACTCGCACAAAACTGGACAAATATTTTCCACGATTATTAATGGGCCAGAAACAGACTCTCGACGTTAATACTTCCAAAACGTTAAGTCTTCTGAAACTTTTTACCCGGCAGGGGACACAACAGAATAATATTTCTATGTATGAATTATTAGGTGTTTGCCAAAAAGAGAATTGTCGATGACCATGCCAAGATTTCTTAAACTATATAAGCGTAAACCTTCAATGAAGCTGATCATGAGAAACTGAAAAGTTATCTTTTGCAAAGTTTACAGACTCCAAGTGCACGTTTATTGTAAAGTCCGGTTGAAGTGCAACTGAAAACTCGACATGTTTTCTATTCTGTTAGATTGCCTTCTTGAGAATTTAGCTATTCGCCGTTTTCGCGAAAGCATGGTTACAATGTACTTATTCACAGTCAGTCAATTTACTGTCGTTTTATTGTTTTCAGCTTTTACTTCGAGAAATGAAAGACAATTGGTTTTAAAGGTTTTAAACTCAAAGGAGAATGAAGAGCAAAACCGTTTTCCTCTTGGGACCATTTTTAATGGTGAGTTCTAGTTCTGATTGTTTTACTACGTTGTGCCGCGATTTACCGGCTGTCGACGATCACTCCAGTCTAATATGTGTCTTGTTAACACTTTACAATTGACATTTATGCTTTTTGAAGAAATGATAAAGTTGATTTGTACTAACTGCATGTAATATAGCCTTTACATATGGCCAAACCACAGCAATCAAACTGCCTCTCATAGAAATGTTGATGTTTTGTTGAAGTCTTGGCAAAACTCGATCTGTACAGGGTATGATACGCTATCAAATTTCAGTGCTAAATGCTTTACCACTGTTTTACCCCAATGTGTTAAAGCAGCTCATTGTATGGTACCTAATAAAACCCCCATTTCGCTAATATCTACTTGCCACGCGCTAGTAGCAAATATGTCTCGCAACGTCAATCAGATTCTTGTGCAATTGCAAGATTGCCTAATGCAGCACTTAAGGCTTAAAGAAATCATTCTAGACCAAACGCCTGCCGTCGCCCACGACACATTGTCATTTGTCATGATCAGTTATCGTGCACAATGTCCATTAAATGATGTTCGCGGAATTGGATAAATTTAATGCACCCGCTAGTTTTAGCTTGCTGATTAACTCAACAAATTTTACGTGCTATTTACAAATCTAAAACAAATTCAAGCGCTTACAATTGTGAAAGATACTGTCGATATTTAAAATGGTAGAATAGACCACATTCATAGCAAAATAGAGTAGCATGGCGTCGATAAAGTTGCGAGGTAATAATATTACTGGTAAATGGTTCTAAAACCCATTAATTTTGTAAAATAACCTCTTCAAGGGCATGACCTTCATATACATGTAATTGTTAAATGTTTTTCAGGCATTGCAGTTTACAACATCCATTGATGGTAAGGATTGTTATTTATCAACGTCATTTATAACATGATATATACCCTGGTTCTTTAACAACTAATTTAGAGCCAGCTAGAAACGGTGTCAAAAAAATAAGAATAAAAGACACTCCGCGTATTGTAACTCCTTGCTTTGGCGTCGTCGCTAAGGATTGATCAGCTCATGATTTAGTAACCTGGTGAAAAATCTCAACGAAACCCTTTGGATGTGCATTCTGTCTTTCCATTGTTGTAAAGCATGCAAATAGATAGACTCCAACAAACTGAAGACACTTCGTATTTAGAAATAATGCCGCAAATAAGAAAATTTTATACTATGGGGTTTGTTAAAAAGTGATAGTATTTATGTAGCTTGTTGCCATGAGCAACGTCCTCCATATGATTTTTTGACACTCTCTCTACACACTTAGAATTTGAGAGGACAGTTGTCGTGAGGGGACTCTGTTTCATGCATCGAATGTTTGTCGTTTCTGAAGCTTATAGAACGAAGAATATTCTTAGCGTATGCGTTCGCAATTCCTGTTCACGCGCTAATTTCACCAGTTGCACGACTCGTACGAATCGTACCACTTGACAGGGCCCCCTCTCGACAACTTTGCTCACAAATTCTAAGCGTCGCCAATGAGAAGCTATTTCACCAGTTGTACAACTCAAACGAGTCGCACCACTTGACAGGACCACCTCTGTACACTTGCCCAGTTGTCTAATGAGATGCAGCCAAGTTATGTACAGCAGTTTATTTCACTCAAATGTATCATATTCACCACTTGTACCAATAGCACAACTTAACGACTCGTACCACTTGATTCTTACACTTGGCGACTTGAACAAGTGGTGAGTATTAGACATGTGTGGAGAATTTGACTTAACTATGAAGCTTGTGGACCAAAATTGTCACTCAACGCTTCCTGATTCATCGAAACAATCCGAACACTTATAAAACACAATTTTTTTGTACATGCTTTGGAAAAAATGCTTTGAGACTTGTCTAGATGAGCTATGAATTTTTATTTGACACTGTGTACTTAGTTGTAACCTATCCGAGTACAATTCCGATATGTTATTTAATTCAGTCTATTTTTTTTTTAATCTGAAGTGTGCAGGAACTCAAATGACAAATTTTCACGTACTACTTACACATGGCAAAAATTGTATGCTGTAATAAATTGAAATTTGGCTACTGTTAGTAGTGAGGGTTTTTTTTGCCTTTCAGCGCTCTTCAACATCACGGCCAACATTCTAAGAACAGGACAATCGTTCAACTTAACCGTGTCAGACACGTGTAACTACGACTATACTGTCAATTTTGGCGACTCGTCTCCTGAACAAAGCTTAGACAATCCACAAAAGATCATATCTCACACTTACAACAGATCAGGCAGCTACGATGTTGAAGTCAAATCAAAGTCGTCATCGTCATCGTCCTCTTTATGTGGTAATGCAACAAAGTCTATTGTGGTCAAAGACGCAATCCAAAACATGGTAAGCTATGGGGCTGGGGGGTTACTTCATAGAATGGCCTACACGGGGTGGCTCCACACAAAAGTGGTACTTTTTCAGGCAGGTTTATCAAAGGGTAGGGACTTCACGAGTTCAAGTATCATTATGTTTATAGTCAGGAAAAGTGACATTTTTCCTTTAGGTATCTAAAGAGTCTTAAATTAAAACATTTCGAAAAAGAGGCACCTTATGGCTGTATCATTTTTTACTATGAAAAACTTTATGAAAATGACTGGGATACATCCTGTATTGGCAATTTCATCATATCAAAAACAACTGGACCAGTTACAATAGTTAAAGAGAAAAGGGATTTGACCTCGGGGCGGGCCTTTCCCACATAAAAATTTGTTGAGTAACCCCGGAATTTTTAGTCAATTTAAACTCGGCTGCGCTCACTTCTCGGTGTCTGGATCACGCTACTATAAATTGCACGAAACATCGTTGTACATGAGACATCTACTCTTCTTCTTTCTCGTCTTCAGACAACATCACTGAACAGCACCATTTGTAAAATCGGCGATTACGTAAACATCTCCGTACAGGTGATTCCGCCTCAGGATCAAGTCATTATTTTCTGGCGTTTGAACAAAACGCAAAATTGGACCGTGTCTCCTATCGAATGTTCAATGCCCGGCAAGAAAGATGTATACGTCATGGCAGAGAATGCTATCAGTGTTCTGACTAGCGAGTGTTTCGAGATTTTATCAGGTAATTAGTTAGGAAGATAAGTGGCCACTTAACCTTTCATTTGACAGGAAACCTGTGAAATACTGTCTACATTCTTAAACTGCATGGACTACGAGTAGTCCTCATTTTTCTCAGGGATAGTAGAGCGAGTGAAAGGCGAGCGCGCGTGAAAATCACCCCACGCGAGAAAAGGTGACACGCCGCGTGGGGTGATTTTCACGCGCGCTCGCGTTTCGCTCTCTGTACTATCCCTGAGGAAAAATGGGGACTATTCGTAGTCTATAAACTGCAGGAGGAGCTTTAATTTTGAAAAGAAGTTTATTATGTCCGGTTACACTTTCGTCTTGTTTTCAGAAATACAGCCTGTGCAGAGCCGCCCCCTCAGCTCAAAAAAAAATTAGAAGGAGGGGTGGCTGCACAGAATGCACTGAAAAAGGGTAATTATGAGATTAGTTTAATGTCCTAACTAAGTTATAGCTAAACGAGTGGTTAAAACATTCTATTCCTTCCCACAGAATAAGGATTCTGGTTCCTGAGAAAAACAGCTAGGCCGCATGTGTTACTCGGTTAAGCAATCACGTCCTTCATTGCAAAATAACATCAATCAAACAAAGTGCATTTCTCTTAACAGCTTAGATAATGAGAAAGGTGTTTTTTCAGTCAGTGACATAGGAAGCTCGGCAGAAAAAATCCGAGTATTTCCAATGGGAGTCGAACCTATAATCCTCTGGTTTCTATAGTCCAGATGCTCTACCACTGAACAATACCAAACTCGTAAGAGCTATTAGACCACTAAACTAGGTCACGTCACAAGCATCCTGGATAAGCCAGATAAGTGTAGATAATGTTGCGTACATGAATGTCCCACTACTAGCGAAACCTACGACGAGTAGGAGCATTGGTGAGAGCAAGTTTGATGATTAAAAAAGATCTTTTTTCTTTGGGCATAATGTTCTTTAGAATGTGAGTACTGGTAATGAAGGTTACG